TTCTGGGGTCATCATTTTCCTGCCACATAAAAAGTGTGCACTGAGCACTGACCTAAAGCTACTGTATAGGCTGTCACCGAGCACCAAATCAAATTATTCCCCATATCTTGTCCTAACCTCAGCAGGAGGTGACCCAATTTATTTTTCCTAATAAACTTGAAAATAATATCCTCACATCAGTGACCACAAAAGGGTTGTGGATTTTTCAAAGGCATATCTTTTTTCTCCACTGTGGCAATAAACAATCTTTAAAGGTGGGCAGAAATTCATCTTACAGTGGAAACCCTGTTTAATAGTAAATGATACCCTCGATACTGAAATTCACTCCAAGGGTTTTAACCTGTCCAATTATATATAACCTCCAATGACATCTCAGGTACAACAGGGCAGTTTGAAAAGAAAAAAAAATTCCAAGTTAACAAAAATGTTTAGCTTGAGGCAAGAGAGAATACAGTATTAATATACATGCTTTGCATTTTTACTTTGTCTAAAATAAGTCAAATTCAAAATGTGTGCACAAAAAGAAAAAAAAGTGTCAAAGGTGCATGAACACCACATTTATTAAAATCTCATTTGCAGAATTCCATTTTTAGTCGACCCATGGCTGGTTACTGATTTCTCTGAATAATGGCCCTATAAGGTACAAAGTATGTTTCAAATCATACCAATTGCAGTTTCATTGAAATTTGAAAAAGAAAAAAGAAAATTGAGTCCCATACACTTCACCTAGGTACAGCTGATACAAGCTCTGCATTTGTCAACATTGACCGCTGCTGTCCTAATATGGAATATAGGCAAAATGCCAAAGCTCACACTGTCTGTACATGAGTATCAAGTGTGCTGCTCAATTTTCATTCCTCATTCATTCAAATTTATTCTGTTTCCATAATAACATAACTGATCACAATTTATGTAGTCCCATCTTGAGAATTTACAATTTTGGCAACTATGCCTCTGGTAACTCGATACAAAAATATCCCCGCCTGCCATTATCATCTCTATACATCAGACAAAATAGCTACAATAACAGTTGTATATATACCATATCCGTTTAAATTCAACACAGTATCTTTTGGCCCAATTACTTCAATCAATCTCCAATTTTGTCAATTTCTCCACTTACACCGAGCACAGACAGGCACTTTGTCATTATTGGCAAAATTTTCAACCTGCCTCTTAAGGTATTGGTGCACATCACTACAGTAACAGTACTAAATGATGGCAAGATAATAATGAAATATGAGTACCTGCCTTTAATCTTCATGTGCCAGGTATTTTGTTTTAATTCAAAGCTGTTCGGTATCTTTAAATTTACTGCTTTGATTTTGTCAACCTAAACATCTCTTAAGTATGCACTGACAGGCATTTTTGCAACGATAATGTTGTAGAAATATTTTCAAAACCTTCCTCTTGATAATAATGATGTATGGTTTCAGGAATAAGTTTTGTAAGTAGAATTCTTTTTTGAAATTTTAAAGTCTGTGAATCAAAAACCACTGATTGTGCCTTTTACAATTTCAATTTTACCTAGGCCCCATTCCTATAAAAACCATCAGTTAACATGGATCAGCCCAACTCTGTGGGAGCCCTCACTGACTACAATCAGCTTAACTGAATGACATGCCTCCTCCTGACATTAAGTACTATATAGAAAAGCTGGTGATTACAGGAGTGCATTGGAAACAAAAGGAAGCATGCCATTCAGTTAAGCTGATTGCACTATGCAGGAGTCCCTGCAGAGTTGGGTCGATCCATGTAGACTGATGGTGTTTATGGGAATGGGGTCCTAGTCAACTAAAAAAAAAAAAACAAAAAAACTTTCTTTTATAGCTTATTTTTATTACTTTTATGGCTCTAAGGCTGCATTCATATCGAGTTGAGCCATGGCTCTACAAAGCCACGACCTAAATATGGCGGACGTACATGAAAGGAAAACCGCCTAATCTTTTAATAGTCTCTCCGCCTCTCACACTCCTCCCGATGTGTCGTCCCAATGGAGCCAAGATTTAATGACTGTACCCCCACAGAGACGATGCATGGGGAGGCGTGTGAGAGGCGGAGAGACTANAACGATAATGTTGTAGAAATATTTTCAAAACCTTCCTCTTGATAATAATGATGTATGGTTTCAGGAATAAGTTTTGTAAGTAGAATTCTTTTTTGAAATTTTAAAGTCTGTGAATCAAAAACCACTGATTGTGCCTTTTACAATTTCAATTTTACCTAGGCCCCATTCCTATAAAAACCATCAGTTAACATGGATCAGCCCAACTCTGTGGGAGCCCTCGCTGACTACAATCAGCTTAACTGAATGACATGCCTCCTCCTGACATTAAGTACTCTACCGAAAAGCTGGTGATTACAGGAGTACATTGGAAACAAAAGGAAGCATGCCATTCAGTTAAGCTGATTGCACTAAGCAGGAGTCCCTGCAGAGTTGGGTCGATCCATGTAGACTGATGGTGTTTATGGGAATGGGGTCCTAGTCAACTAAAAAAAAAAAAAACTTTTTTTTGTACCTTATTTTTATTACTTTTATGGCTCTAAGGCCGCATTCATATCGAGTTGAGCCATGGCTTTACAAAGCCACGACCTAAATATGGCAGACGTACATGAAAGGAAAACCGCCTGATCTTTTAATAGTCTCTCCGCCTCTCACACTCCTCCTGATGTGTCGTCCCAATGGAGCCGAGATTTAATGACTGTTCCCCCGCAGAGACCATGCATGGGGAGGCGTGTGAGAGGCGGAGAGACTATTAAAAGATTAGGCGGTTTTCCTTTCACGTACGTCCACCATATTTAGGTCATGGCTTTGTTGAACCATGGCTCAACTCGATGTGAATGCGGCCTAACAATTTATTGAGGCACATGTGCATGGAAGCATGTATTGATGATGATAACACACCAAATTTTGTGTTATTTTCCACATTTTTGTCCTTTATCTTTGAAAATGACTGAGACAACATAAAACCATACCGTGAAGAGATAAGACACATGGCTGAATGCATGGCTGATGCTAAATGTGAAGAATTTCACAAGGGTTGACTAGAAAAGAAAAAACCAACTGAACCAGAGAAGATATTTTTCATCCCCTATAGGGATACATAATGGTCAGGTTTGTTGGACAACTATAAAGCATGAACATTGTTGGTTTTATTGAATATGTGAAAATTAATGTTGTAATGATAAAACCTGCTATGTATATCAAGTCACATGGCTTTTAACTAAAAGACTAAGCATAATTTTGATGAATTTTTTTTCCTGTGTGAAACAGACTTTTTGCACGCTCTTTGCGAGCAAAACATTAAAACTGCTATCATTATAATGAGACAATGAGACTCAACCATTACTACCCTGTTATTGTTAAGAATATGTAAATTTAATTGAACCATGACCTGAATCAACATTATTAATAATCAAACTCAATATTATATGATTTTCACTGTCGTAAATTTGATCACCAGATGCACCTATTTTGACATAACAAGTTACATGACTCTTTTGAGGATATGCATTATCAATGCACAATGACTCCCTTTCTACAGGCTCTCTGACTCAGTTCACTGATTCTTTTTATACATGTTTTGGCACAGTTTTACTTTTACATAAAGCAAGGTACTTTTACATAAAATAGAATGTACTCAGAACATGGAGGTCATATTGGAAAAAAATTCATTCCTCAGTGAAATTGTGCTTGATATTATATTAATATCATACTAATAATGATCCAAGCATCCACTGATTTGACCACAAACTACTCAAAAACTATTGCACTGTTTTCTGGGCCAAATACAAAAAATGATTGGGCAGCACAGATGTGCAAAAATTATAAGCGAAATAAATGGAATTAAGTTAACTGATTATCATGTTGTGAACAACATACAATATTGAATACCAGCCTTTCAGCACATGCCTGCAATACAATATACACATCTGGGACCCCTATATTTCAAAATTAGTAATTTAAGATAACCTGTAACTGCTGAAATAAGAAAGCTATAATTTTCTTCATATGGGCAATGATAGTTTAATCTGTCAGGCTTTCAATCATCATATCAAATGTTGTGTTTAATATATCATGTTGAGATGCATCCCAAACTGTTTTTGCACCAGTGGGGCTTATGTAATATATATATATTTCAATTCAGAGCAAATCAATAGCCACTGATACACTCTAACTCAAAGTACCAAAAATTCCCATTAAGATTTTTTATTTTTAGTTAACTTTCTGGAGAAATTGTCGGTTTTTAATTTCAAAGTGCAACTCTGTAATTAATTATCTATAATAATTGATCACCATGATAACACTCCACTTGTGAAAACAATTTGAATGTAAAATTATAAGGCTGTGCCAAATTCTAAAACACCCCTTGATAAAAATACCTTCTTAAATGGCTTTATGTAGACGGCAAAATCATATTTTTCCTATTTCGACTATCTCAGTCTATAATGTAATTTGCCAAAAAATAATGATGATGACATCTTTGCCTGCAAGCATAGCAATCAATAAACCAAATTATATTTATTGCTATTATATCATGAAGTCCTTAGCATGGTTACCACCAATTCAAATGCATTAATACTGTAAGTGGACTAAAAAATGGAGATATTATAATGTATATAGCTGACTTAAAGAGGCACTGAGAAAGAGAGAAAGTGAAGGAGGAAGAGAGACAGGCTGACTTTGATGGATCCAAAACTGGCTGAAATGCATCAATCAATACAAAATCTGCAATAAAAAAAAAAAGAAAGAAAAAAAATGAACATTCACAGAACTGGTTATGAAGCAATTAAACCAGGCTGCCAAACTGAAAAAAAAGAAGAAAAAAACAACAGTGTTGATGATCAGTCGACATATTTGTCATCACCTCATAAAATTTAGCCCAATATTCAGCATCAATAAATAACAATATAAACTATGAAAAAAAGATATAACAAGAAAAGTGGATGCAGCACACTGAAATAGATGAGATAGGTTATTGACAATAAATATCACTTACCAATTCATCTTCCCTGATAAAGTTGACCTTATCATCTCCAGAATTTGTTGAAATTGTCCCATAATCCTCCATTGGGACAGCAACGCCATTGATAATTCCTTTTTCTGGTTTTCCACGTAATGACATTTTGTCTGCAACTGTATATCTGCAGTAATACAAGCTAGGTCATTCTGAAAAAATTAGAAAAAAAATCCTAAAATTAATATAGTTGGAAATATAAATGCACACATACACACACATGCACACACACACACACGCATGCGCACAAATGCATGACCATACCCAGAGCCTCAGAAATTCTCATGCCAGACCCCCCTCTCCACCCTCTAATTACAATGACTTTCTTGAACTTTTGGAATTCACTGCACTGAGTCACAGTGGTAAACAGCAAAAAGTCAGAAGAAGAAAATGAGAAAAACAAAATTTAATCTACGACTTGCAGACCTGCTTGGCTGCACAAAACATATTTAGTAGCTTTTTTTTTGCTATCACTGAAATAATTGAGGTTTTTGAAATTTGTGAGCAACATAGATGACATTAAGAATGTATCATGGGAATACATTCCTGATGACATATGAAGCTTCTTGGCTGTCTACAAGCAAAAAATCTTAAGTCTTTTTTTATTAAAAACAACAATTATTTTAATCTTCACAGGAATAATTGTTTTTTTTTTTTAATTTGTGAGTTATTGCAGCATTTATCAATAATACTAGTGGGCGAAGGTCATGACTTCATTAATACAAATAATTATTTCTTAATACATAAAATATTAATCATTCCACTCGGTAACAACATCTAAGTGGAAATTAAATTAACAGCAGGAAATCTCAACGGTAACCAGGACAGCAAGTCAGACAATTTATACTTAGTGGTTGCAATTTTGGGATTAACACACACAAATACGAATAAAAAAAAATCAATCAAATGTCCTGAAGACAAGTCTCGGATTGAGAGAACAAACGAGACATGGCGTTACTTCAACAGTTGCTGGATTGGAATGACTGAACAAAATCGTTTCTCCTGTGGTCTGATTATCTTAAAATGATTTTTATCAACCCATCTCTTATGACTTACCAAGTCTAAGGGTACATTCACAATGAATATCTCATGTACTAGGTACTGCACACTCTAAACTCCAAAAGTACCCAATGGCATGCTAGTTGCAATCAGATTAACACACCAAATGTTTCTTATGTACTTAATCACCAGGTAGAGATGTGCTAATCTGTTAATCCGATTGCAATCAGCAAGAGTTCCCCTTGGTATGCAGTAGCTAGTACGCTAGACACATTGTGAAGCCTCCCTTAAATACTGTATAAATTTTTATATTCAGACAATGACAATATAGGATGACTATGTGCCATACATTTCCATTTCTAAACCAGTTAAAACAATTATATTAATTTATCATAAAAAGTACATTTGTTTCTAAAGAGAATAAATGTGTTTTTAACCTTTGAGGCATTTTATGTTCCCATACTTCAACAAAGGGCTTACAGGTAAGAAACAGTAAAGGTAAGAAAAAAATTAGATTCTTTAAGAACAAATTAATTTTTTATCACAAGAGTCAACCCAAAACCTATTTTAACATTCAATTTTCTTAGCAGAGGAAGTTAAACTACTGGACATAAGCACATATAATGTACCAAATATGAGATGTGTCATTTATCTGGAATAGTTACATTATTATATGTGCAGCCTGTTTAAATAATAAATGGGCATGGACTAGGATACCAAATATCCAATAATTGTCTCCTTTATTGTGATATTTGATGAGTGTATAGGATCACAGCTGACACTAATTACACATACAAGTTGTATGGTTAATACAGTCAAGTAAATATGAAATTAAAACATATATTATAGTTTCCACGACGGTTGTCTCACAATATATAAACACCTGCTACTGTCAAATAAGAAACACTTGAAACAACACCTGAGCCATTAAATTGATCGTCACAATTAGTGTAACTACATTGTGTGGTAGAAATACTTGTTTTACACTGCTTTATACACGGGCCTCAAAAAGGATAATTTCTGTTTGCTACCACAAGCCATAGATTTTGGAGCACAAATGTCCAAATTAGAAACTCCAACCACGGATTAAGTACCCAAACGTAAAATTAGTAGCCACGAACACAGCGTCAGAGCGATTTGTAGGTCATAACACTGTGCATGGGCTCTTAATTTGTGGCTCCCGTTGATAATTTTGGCATTTGTGCTCACAAATCTGAGATTTGAGTTCACAAATGCACGATCCCTTTATAAGGCCTGAAACACACGTGAGCTACTAAGTGCTCTAGAAACGTACATTACTCTTCTTAAATATCAACATACACATGTACCTTGATCTGCCGTTTCCAGTATCAGAGTATTAATAACAGTAAATGCAATTGAAAAACAAAAAGGGAAATACCATTTCCTCTTTGATAGAAATAAGCAACAAATATTTTATATACTCATATCTAAAATAAAAAATAAATAGAAAAAAAACTTGGAACAAACTCATAATATTTTAATCAATAAACAATGTCATTTTCCCTGACATTGTTCACCAAATACATAATTCATCACTGCACCAGATATGTGGGCAGTTTCATCATACCTTCAGAGAATACATTTTGCGGTGTTATGGGTTTGGAGAGATAATCTGTCTGATATGATGCGAATATTGCTGCAAGTCATAATTGATGATTTCCATGAAATATATTATATTGACCTTAAATGGGTTAAGTTTGCTTTTATTTATTTATTTATTTATTTATTTATTTTTTGAGGAGAGGGAGAGAGTGAGAGAGAGAAGAAGAAGTAAATGAGATGGAGAAAAAGGAAGAAGGAAGAAAAGAAGAGAGAGAAAGAGAGAGAGAGAGTATATCTATATGAAAGAGAGAGAAAGTATATCTATACTATCCAGCCCTGTAGCCTTTTTTGCTGGGAAAAGGTCCACTCTGGGTAAAATTTGATCTAGATACATGGGGATTATATGGTAAAAGGTCCACTTTTTCAGAAAAAAAAAACCCTTTGAAATTTCTGGCTACAGGCCTGCTATATCTAGCATGCTATGGTGATTTTGCAGCAACTCCACAGATCACTCCCGCAGGACCTGGTCTCAGTCTTCAGCACTCAATAAACACGTAAATAAGTCATGGCACTTAATCAGTGACACACTGGTCAGTAAGACAATTTTCCATCCAAGGCTTTTGTTCTGGAGGAACCAATTATAGAGCCAGTCTGGATATTGAGATACACGCTTACATTTATAGGACTATATACCAGACCTGGGAATCTGTCTAGCTGCATGAGGCTTCAATACACATCTATAGGGAACATTAAGTCCCCATTATGTGCCTATAGTAGTACACAATTTGATCCACCATGGTATATTTTTTGAGGCAAAAAATTCAAATGTATCCACTGAATTAAGCTGCTTTTGGCTGCTTTCACAATCAGTTGATCCATGGACTAACTATAGTCCAAGGATCAAATATGGTCTGACCCACTTGAAAGCACGCTGAAATTTAATTGTTTCAGCTGGAACAGCAAGCCTGAGAGGTATAGGAATCCATTGTCAAGTGCACGCCATATTTGATCTGCAGACTAGTTAGTCTGCGGTCAACTGGTTGTGAACGCAGCCTTAGACCAATGATTCTGTTATGTACAAAACTGCATGACTAAGATCCCATTCTCAGAGATTAGATCGATCCAAACTAGATCGACCTAACTCCCTGGGGGTTCACGCTAAATAGCTGTCAGCCGAGAGGGCACGAAAGTTAATTACCCCCTTACAGCTTGTAGTAGGTGGGACGGACATTAAAGCCGGATTAACTGAGAGTAATCTAGTGAGACTCCCCATGGGGATAGATCGCTCTAAATGTCTGGGAATACGCCCTAAGTCAGACTAAACAGTTCTGATATGTAGGCAGCTTACACAGACTGAAAACAATACATCAATGCCAGTATAGGTTTTCTGGCTTCCTCCAAGTAATTTCATTAACACGTGCCAATATTAAGCCTCACATGCTACCCATGAAAGGAAATTATAACAGCACATTTAACCTCTCATCATCAGTATTATAAATCTTTTAAGGCTTGTGGGTTGCCACCAACACTAGGTTGTTAGGTTATCACCTAATGTACCTAGTATTTGATTTATAAATTATTTTACAATTATTTTCACTCCTTCTGTATTGATATATATTAAGACTGCAATATCATATGTTACCAAATGCACGACACTGTTTATCATTTAATCATGTTATCAAGCTTATTTTCTTACACAGTTCATTCATATCCCAACCAATGTAATGCAATGTAATACAATGTAGAATAATTCTATGAGACTTCCATGGTATATACATAAAATTATATAAAATAAAGTCGAAAGCAATATAATGTCTGAAATACTACAGAGCCTCATGAACAGAAAAATAGACACATATTCAATACAAAATCTGATACATAAATAGCATGATCCCCAACTTTTGAATCAAAAGTGTAGGGATAAAAATCCTGTTTCCAAAAATTATATATAATTGTAGTATACTGTAAAAATTGGAGAATTCCTATAAAAAAAACAGTCCAAAATGAAGCATAACACAAAAAATACATAGAATTGAAAAGAGCCAACATGAAAAACAACACTAACTCCATCTAAAACCTTCCTCACCTGAAACAGTTTTTCCAGAAAATGTCCTCAACTGTGCTTAACTCGGCATGACAGCGTTATTTCAACAGCAGCCACATTATCTGTGCACAGTCATCATGTCTGCTGTCAGCTTGGCAAATGTTCTGAACGTTCTGTCCTCAGATCAGGTTCTCTCCCCCTCTGTAACAGAAAAAATGAGAAATCAATAAAAAAGCAGCGATTAGTTACTTTAAAAGCAGTGGAAGCCTGACAATTGTCTACTCGCATAAATATATTATGTTTACTTATTGAATTTTGCATGATCACGTTCCTGAATCTCTTGGGGATTTTCATTGACAAACGGTGCTTCCCTGGTAAAAGACAATTGGGAGATACTTCGCCGTTCACATATTGCTTAGTGAGTTAGGTCCTAAACCGGTAACTGAGCCAGAATAAGGTGTTAATTTTTGCTCATTTTCCTGACTAGCTAGCTGGCACTGGTCACATTAGAGACGTTCTGTTCTGTTTTTAAATGAAATAGGTACTCACTGACAGATATGCAATCGGGGCTGTAGCAATAGTCCGAAGGTTCAATAGTCCAAAAGTTCATTGGTCCGAATGTTCACTATAGAACCTTTGGACCAACGAACCCTTGATTAAAACAAACTGCTGAAAATGCAATGATTTTCCAGACCAATGAGCCTTCTGACCAATGAATCTTCAGACTATCGAGGCGCCCCCATGCAATCCATTGATCTAACCTCTTGAAAACAAATTGCGAGTGACCCAATTATGATGAGAAACTTACTACCTGTACAATATGGAACTAATTAACACAAACCAGTTCACAGATAATAATTTGGCGACATGCTGTGGTTATTAGCCCCAACTATTGAGCAGTGGATAACTGAATACCACATAGCTTCCATCATTCACTACCCAAAGGTGGTCTCAACCAATATCTTACCCACGATAAATCTTGGAACGGTTACAATACAGTCTCCTTAAGTGCCAAGATTTCAATAAGTATAGAATTTTGTTCATAGCAGTGCCATTTTGCTACCTTGAAGGTTTATAGCCACTAAAATAGTAATTATTCACTGCATGATTACAAACAGACTGAGTGTTATTTTGTTATTGGTATTATGGATAAAAAACAATATATTTTAATGGTGAAAATGTAAATGATGATTCTTAGGCAGCTAAGGAGTAAATTAAATTCTTGCCATTTCATAGCAAAAATCATTTTAAGCTAACAAAAAATTTAAAAATAAACAAAATGAAATAAATAAATAAATAATAATAATGTGAGTTGTATAAAATTTTAGAAGCATTACCATATTAAAAAATAGTGCAATTTCCATATAATACCTGAACAGGTAGTGCTGTATGTTCAATTACCTGATGATGGTTATTTAATGAAATACATCCATCATACCAACAGCTAGTAATAGAACTCTGTTCACACAGGAGCATACTTTAGACTGAAAATAGGGTCAACCCATGTCAGCTGATCGATGATATATAGATGGATGGATGCATTGATTAACAGGGAAATGTACATGTCAAAGGCACAGGTGGATGTCTGTGCAGATAATGGTTTCAGAAATAAAGCATGATGGATCTCAGGATTGTTGGAAACCACTCTTATTTTAGATATAGCTCAGCTATTTTAGATCACCAAGCAAAATGGAGAAACTATAGCCAAATGGGAATCTGAATGTTTAGGAAATCAGAACAGAGGCACACAAGCCTGTTCTCTTTGTACATTAATATGCTTATCATGCAGAAAGATTTATGTGAAATTTTGGTCTTGTAGGTTACTCATTCTGATAACTCAAGAATGATGTCATTATATTCTCATCAATTTAACTAATATGTCTGCCATGATGTATGAATTATAGAATTAACCTAAGAGCCTATTACTGTTGAAGCTATTGGTCTATGCAAATCGATCCAACTTTGCAAGGGCTTTTGCTGAATGCAATGAGTGTAACAGATTAACACGCCCCCTCCTGGTATTGGGTAGAATGCAGTAATATGTTTATGTTGGAAACAAAAAGAGGCTTGTTCATTCACTGACTGCATACAGCGAGAGTCCCCACTGATCAGCTGGATCGATCTACATAGACTGATAACTTCAGTGGAAATGAACCCTAATGCTCAGCTGAAACCATTCCTCTTTGTTACGGAATGCGATATCACACTAAATAATACAAAAACATACATGATAAAAATTATGTAAGGGTACCTGAACATAACACCCCGAGTTTCAGTATATTTCTTATAACCTCTACATTACAATGGCCATATTCAGAACAGTGGACTCACTGGTCCGAGGGTCAAATATGGCAGAACCACATGAATACTTCCCCACTGGAAATCTATTTAGAGTCTATTAGCGGATTAGTGAGTCGCCACATTTTACCCGCGGACTAGTTAGTCCACAGTTCCGAATGCAGCCTATGACATGGGCGTATGACACACTACAGATGTGTCACAAGGAATCAGTCGAACAAGTTACTGTGCACTTATTATCATTTATCACTTATCTTTACAAAAGCCCGGGCACTGCTGCCAGAGAATCAATTGAACAATAATATGTATTACCAGAATGAGTCGAATAATTTCCTTTGGCTTCTGATCCTCTTGGGTCTCCCCATCTCAACCCTGTAATGTCTTTATCATTGCACAGCTGCTTTCAGCAGACATTCAACTGTGTCTGCCTAATGGAATATGCATCAATGTCTAATATGGAATAATGGACTTCATAGAGAGTCATGTTTTTTGCACAAAATTAAGGTATTGAATCCTGGACCCATAGCAGTAGTAGTCTGAAGGTTCATTGGCCAGAATGTTTATTATAGAAGCTTAGGACCAATGAACCCTCTATTAAAAAACTGATGAAAATGTTACGATTTTTCAGACCAATGAACCTTCGTTCGGATGATCGAGACGCACCCTTGAATCCTATCCACACAGAGACTTCCTGCTCTTTATAAGTCCTAAATTGTGAAGTTTTTTTTTCTTTTTTGGACTGAGTCTGTGATACAACAGACTTAATTTATACTGTGACTGTGTAGTCACGTTAAACACATTGTCTACTAAAAATGGCCATGAAATCACCCATTTGTTATCAATCTTATCCTTAATCTCCGTTAGTGATGCCCTTCAGGGTTTCTGATCATTTTCAGCAGTCTTGAAATCTATAGTAACTGCATGTGAGTGGCTTAGGTGGCACACGTCCAGTATTAGTCTCTAATATGGAATAACATAGTGTCATTGTGGTTTCTACAATAGGTCATGGAGTCAATTTTGATAAATCTTTTATCCTGTAATAAGCTTTACCTGTATGAGTATTAGGACTTTTTGACAGAAAAAGACTAAGCAGCAAGATAATTAGATAAACTTCTAAACTTAATAACCATCCAGTTCAACAGAATATATATATGTAAAAACTGTTCTATTTGACCATCCAAATGAATTATTGGATGACGCAAGAGGATCAATTAGCAAACTATTATCCATTAAATAATTCTTATGGGATCCAGTCGTAAATCTTTCAAGCAGACACCTGATAGAAGCCACATACAGCTAATATATAATAGCTATAGAACACTCACAGGGTTTGAGCAGAAGTGTCTTTTACTTCATTGGTTTAATATATTGCCACAGTTTCTGCAAAAGGTAATGAAATCAATTTAGACAAATTGATCCACCAACAGGCTTTTATTCAGTAAAGCACCTTGTGAGTGCATTGAATTTCTATGATGCCATTACAAGTGGATCAGTTGGCTAACTTTAATCTATCGAATAATTCCAATTAAGTAGATCACAGATGAATCCTCTTGGGCTTCCCTCGGTTCCCGGGCCCTGAACATTCAGGCATTGTTCATCGGCCATTAAATAACTACTCATGGTGTCTCTCTTTCTCTGGCTAATGGAATATTCAATAATGAAAACCAATATGTTAGAGCGAGATCATCACCTCCCACAGAGATACAATACATAATATGACAATGCAGAACACTGACAAGGTGGCCAGGCTTCAATATTATTTAAAGGTACTCCATACTGGATTTACCCACAAAAATTAATTTTTCTAAAAAAAAGAAAAAAAAAAAAAAAAAAAAATCATACTCGTGATTCATTGCTCTACCAGCATCCCTGCATTTGGATTTAATGCTCTTTACATTTTTCTATTCAGTTATTTGGTTCTAAATGGAAGGCCGGTCACTTAGAATGGCATGTCTTCCTGCACATAAAATACTTTCAGAAGGAACTTGCTCAGTTATCTGTAATCCAGGCGTCATTATTCCATTTTCCCGGCGTAATTCAAATTTGAGGTCAACATAACATGGACGTAAACTCTGAGACTCTAATATATTAAAAATGAATTACTGAATGGCTAAAACTTTCTCAAATATCTTAATAGTTTTTTTATTATTTATAGGGTTTTGTAAAAATATTTCATTTAAGCTAATGTTTATAAACATGTATTTACATGCATGGATAATTTTAGCTGCAACTTCACTGTATATTATTGTTCCATTTTTTACCTCAGTCTCTCTTCGTAGGGCCATAGTTATTTTATCAAAGGTGAAGATATTCCTTAGGGGCAAAAGAAAAAACAAAAACATCATGATAATACCTTTGTGACACTCAACAGACCGACCTGACTGAACATTCACAGTCTAGGCTTGACACCTGATGCTAAATAACAAGTTGCCCGGTAGGTATTTCTCGTTTAGTAACAGATTATAGAGGTGTGTGTGTGTGTGTGTGTGTGTGTGTGTGTGAGAGAGGGAGAGAGAGAGAAAGAGACAGAAAGACAGAGAGAGAGAGAAAGATTAATAGTGCACATATAGCATGTCAAAAACACATTCAGTTGCACAGTGTATCTCCACCACCTGTAGGCAACTTACCTGTGCCCTTGTTAATACATATGCCTAGATTCTCAACTCCTCTGAGATCACTTATATGGTGTAATATCCATGGCAGAGGATAGACTTAGATATTTCATTCTATTTATCATTATAAAACTGTGCACTGTCTTTTTTTGTGGTTTCCTGAGTACAATGATAGCTGAGCACCATGTAGCCCAGGGGCGTAACCAGGCATACGCACGGATGCACTGTGCGTACAATTTTTTGAGCCAACCATGATATTATTCTCCAAAAATTCAGTGTATTTTTCACAGAATATAATTGTACCTGGGAATTTTCAAAATCTGTGCGTACAATTTTAAATGGTCTGGTTACGCCCCTGTAGCCTACTTAGTGCTGTTGACAGAGTTTATTGTGTGCTAATACATCGTCACACAATCACATCAGGTGGTATTTTAGTCATTTTTTTTTTTTTTTTGTAAGTTAAACCACAGTACATTAAATATTGTAATGTACTGGTACTTCCTTGCCAAGGTTCTGGTATGTATCTCTGTGTTCGATCATCCTCCACAGTAAATATATATCAAGGTTTTGTTTTAAATATGTGATGTATTTAATAACAACTATATAATGAACTTAAGCATCTGACTGCCTCTTTGAAAACAAAACTGGAACAATACTTACTTGATAAAGTTAAAGCTGCACATCAGATCCTTTAGACTGTTAATAATTCTTGCTGACTGAATTGTCCAGACAAGTCCAACGTGATGTATAATAATGTAATACAGTCAAGTAAATTTATAAATTATAAATCCCTTGTTCCATCTGTAACAGAATAATATCCTGCATCCAGTCTGTCTTTCAGTATATAAAATACTACATTTACATAATATGAATATACCTTGAAATACTTGTATATATCTGCACAGATCCAGTGCTTCAGGAGGCGACTTCACTCATTTGAATTCCTATATGCCCATAGTCCTAGAATAAAGAAGATAACATCTACAGTCATTTGACTATCTCAAAATATCTTCCTGTGAGCATCCTGAAAACCATTCAAAAGTGCCCCCATATTTGCCACCTAGACTTGGCATAAACTAAGATAACATCTATCCTATAGCATACCTCCTAATGTATTGTGTTAGTCTGTATATATGCGTCCTTAAAATCCCAAGTGATAGCATCTGGTCTGTGGAATACCTTCATGCAGCAACCACCTGTTGATTATGGCCACCATCCCCACCATATACACACCAAGGCTGGCAAATCAGATATTATCTGAAGATCAGAAATAATTTACCCTCATGCTCAGGAGTGTGATGGGTCTCTGGAGTTCTCTGCATCAATTTATTTGTTGGGGCAAGGTAATGATTCCCTGTCATGAGATGCATGGGCATGAAGGACAAATAAATGCCACGTCCCTGATGCAGAGTCCAGCTGACATTTTCGTGTCAACTGCAGACAATAAACTTTGTGATACAGTCAGATCTGTAGTTGTACAATTTTTTTTGTTTCGTGACACTTGCGTCTGGTGAATCCAGTTAAATTGTACATGTACCTGCATATACATGTAGAATATAATTACTATCATAGGAATTTAATACGCTCATTCTGGGTTGATACAGAAAAAAGGACTGGCATAAACGAAGAATAAAACATTGTTACAATGGGGGCGTCTCGATAGTCCGAAGGTTCATTGGTCCGAAGGTTCATTGGTTCAAAAACGGGAACATTTTCATCTCTTTTTTAATCAAGGGTTCATTGGTCCGAAGATTCTGTGGTGAACATTCGGACCAATGAACCTTCGGACTATTGAACCTTCGGACTATTGCTACGGCCCCATTACAACAGGTCTATGTACTGGTACATTAGTTGCTAGTCTTGATCATAAAAAAATGAATGTGCTAGTCTATAATGCTGATGTTAAAATCTTTGAAGAAAAATAAAAGACCAGTCTTATATGTTACATAATATATATTAAATAATTATTATAAATGGTCTGTATATCATAATAAGTCAAACATAGCCATCAGACTGAAATGGATATACATGTATAATCACTTATTAATTAGACTTTTACAACGCTCTTTAACTCTGGGTGTAAGTTGAAATTTATTGTAAGCTTTTGTTATACATGTAGTATTATAACAAGACTGCAGTTGAATAGAAAATGTCAACAATTTTAACATTCAAGCTGTTATTCCTTTGAGGATTTTGTTGGGTGATCTGAATTAAGGTTGCTTTTATTGATGTGAATAACATGACTTACATCGGGTCATATACCAGTAGAGTGAAATGTATCCTTAAACTTCATGTACTGAAAGCATGCTGTAGATCATAAAAACATCTTCAGTTACACATGCTACACTGTATATAATCTTGTTGTTTGAAGTTCCCAATAATTAATACAAATATGTTCACGAGTACAACATACCTACCTGTACCAAGACTTTCCATTAGAGACTAAAATGTGTTAAGTTCGTAACTGACTATAACGGACATATAAAAGGGCATGATTTTCAACTTTGTTTGTTTATTTACTCACCCGTACATTATAAGAACGGTCCTCGCTCAGCTGATCTATTTAAATATCAATTCAGGTATTTTCCTTTTGTTGACGCAGGGTGTTTACCAGCTGATTGAATCTACTTATCAGGTAAATAGCAACCATTAGGCTTAAGTATGAGAAAGAAACCAGATTCTATCAATGGGGGAGGAGGGAGGGGGAGGGGAGAGATGGGGCGAGGGTTTGGGAGTGAGGGTTAATTTTCTGCTTTTCTCCATAACTGGGCCTCAATTCTGTAATGATCTTCAGCAAAAAGTAAGATGCAGACATTAACATGAAAGCTTGTTTATATCTTATGAGCATTTTTATCTAGTATCTATATGCACTTAATTGTTTTGGGAGTAATAACTGTAACCTGCAATTATAATTTTGCTTTCTACTCAAGGTGTCTGACAACTGATACTCCCTTTTGACTATTAAACCATAAAATACTGCATATATATCAAAACCATGCTAGCACAGGTATACAGTAATGACTCGATCTTTTCAATGGGCAAAAAATATCAAACTTTTGGACACACAATTTTATAATCACAAAAATTATATTTCTATATAGCATTTATGGTGCTTTTGCCACATAGCCTAGAACTAAAGAGTAGCCTGCTTTCCAATTCTGTTGTTATAACTCAGTAGGATTGTTCTAATTTGAAAAAAAAAATTGACTTAAAGATATTACAGGATCTGTAAAATTCACAATTTTCCCAGCTTGAAAAGAATGACTAATTTCCATACCTAGTATTTTCTAAAGGTTACATAGTCCAGTCAAAAAAAAAAAAAACAAATTGCATTTTTCTCAGCAAGGCAATAACTGTTTTGTGAACCTCTATTACAAACACAAGTGATTACAATCAACCTGAAACCTCTTCCCTATCAATGTCTTTTACCGAAAATCCAAGCTCACTCCACAAAATAAATATGTAATTCTTATGTTGAAGCAATATATTTTTCAATCCTAATGAATTTTCCTTCTAAGTATCATCAAATGGATCCTTGGAAATATTGTGCCATCGCCCAAGAGACTGTATTAATTCAATTGCTCTGTCCAAACACCCAATCCCCCGTTTCCAAATGGACTGTAACCCCAAGGGGGTTAAACCCCCAAGACGGAATTACGTTGAGTATATTAATAATGTTGGCATAATGTTGGCAATTTGTCTTTTTTTATGCACAGTACATTAAAAACAATATATGCACAGAATAACTACATACCTTGGCTTTCTTTGTTTGAAATGTGTGCATGAAATATAGCACAGATAGTTTTTTTTTTAAGAAGTGCAGAGACTATTGAATCAGTAAAAAAAAAAATGATTGTAAAATTTGTACCTGTCTCACTGCAGGTAAATTTATGGTAATTTAAAACCCTATACCTTATTTCACGCAAGTGTCACTCACACAATTCCTCATACAAATTTAATCTAAAAAAAACATTTTAGGAATTCAGCTGTTCTACTAGTTACTTCAGCTTACAATATCACAATACAACTTGTTTTTTAACAAGCAACCTGAATACACAGGCACTCCCTCCCTCAGTGACTTCTGTGTGTTTTGCTAATATATTAACCCAAGCAGAAGAAAGCACCGCTTCACCATATTGTAAGAATTATAAAACCTCTCTTCAAAAGTCAAAGGAAACAGCTTGCTTAAGTTAAACGAAACAAATTACGCATGTTTTCCAATTTTTAACACATTTTAACAACATTATGATATGGAAAAATATTGCGCAGGTTGGGTTCAATTCAGAATTATATTTTTGTTTTTTTGCATGATATATATGATATTTAGAATAAACACAGCACACTGAAACAGGTTTTTCGTACAATTTGTCTATGGGCCAATGCTAACAAAACAATGAATTGTCTCTTAAAAGAATTGTATCCATGAAGGGTTAAAACTTCTTCAAAATTATTATCTTCTTCCTTATCAATATATGAGGCAGAGCAATTACTATAAATTTCTGTGCTTCTTTCACATAAGAAAAACATCTTAAAATATATAAAAGAAGTTCAAATAAATGCCCTGTAACACATAAAAGAATTAGCACTCGTTTCCTACACAACTCATAAAATTTCCGTGAAAAAAAAATCTTTCCAGCGTTGAAAAAACTCCAAAACTGTACCTTCTTCAAATTTCTTGTTATATATTTGGCATGCTTATTTTCCCTATAGGCTGTAAAGCACAGAGGGGAGAAATTATCTGTGCAAATATTATTTTTTAATGTAACATAATCTGTGTTATTTGTTCAAGTTATACTATTTGAACCACCATATATACAGTGTTATTTGGAAATGTATTAAATAGGAAAAATTTGACATATAAGCACTTGCTAAATGTGCATCTTTCAACATCTGATGAAAATTAATCCGTACATCATATAATAAATTACTCACCCTCTCTGCAAATTTGCATCTCCACGTTTTTTACCCAAAGTGATGGCAAGTTCTGGGGCAGAATCTAAGACACAGGTGCTCGTCTTTCACTTGATATGAAATGACCAAAGCAATCCAAAAACCTCGATCTGCTGCTGGAACTTTGATGTGCCCCTTGCTTCTCTAATTGCAGACTGGAGAGTCTTTAGAATCTTTTTTTCCGCAGTCCTGTGACAGGTAGTCTTTGACGGCGCTGGCTGGGTCAAAAAAACAGCTGAATCTATCCACACACAAGTACAAACACACTCACACAACAGACAGTTCTGGATGGCAAACTGGTGGCAAAAATCAATACTCAGCAACTATCTGACTATCAGCGTGTATTCACCTGTTGTAATATGACACCCTGTATCAAGGCAGATCTAATTTTCATCGCCACTTACCCACTTGGGCATGGTTAGATAGATATATACACGATTGTAATAAGAAAGAAAATGAAGCACGTGTCATTTAGTGTCAGTCGGCCAATGACCTCCCCCATGCAAAATTCAAAAGCAATGCCTTGTTGGCAAATGCTTCAACTGTACGCTATGCTGCTGTGCGTGCATTCCAATAGAATGCCGATGTAATTAGTAATGGCACATGCTTATTTTCATTAGCAGTTCTTGAAATGAGAATCAGGATATAAAAAAAATTGGATACAGAAGAAAAATTATAAGTAACAAGCACTGACAGAAATTACTTCATGCAGATATGAAATGTCAGCTTGTTATCTTGTTATCTATGTTATCAAAAAAAAAAACAAAAAAAAACTCTTAACCACTTTTGTCCCCAAAAGACACCACAATCTGTAATTTTTTTTTCATTTTTTCAGACACTGTTCACTGATATAACACTATTGATTGGTAACATGAACTATCCTGCAAGGAAAAAAAAGCTACTTTCCTAGGCAATAGCCTAGAGACTTGGGAGTTGCTGTGCAGTAAATTACAAATCAATTATGCCAAATTGCCAAACTATTTTCGTACCTATTGTCTGTATCTCCTTGTACACAGCAGTAAGTGCGCCATATCACATTAGAATAGGCCAAGGTGATAGCTGGACTAACTTATAAACGAGAATATATAAATTCATAGATATTATGTTGGGAAGGTCTAAACGAAAGTCATATTTAAATAACATATTTGGCGCTATCTTGATAATAATAATAAATAAAATAAAATAAAATAAAATAGAAAAATTTGAAGAAAAAAGCCAACTGCGTGAAGGGATAACATTTTTGTTACATTGCAAGGAAGTGTCACCCGGCCTTTTACGTCATAACATCAAACATGAGCTTAGGTTTCAAAAAAAAAAAAAAAAAAGAAACTCTGAACATTTATCCTGGGACCCAACACCTAACCTTGATGAATCTCAGGAACCCTCAGATATTGAATTTAAAAAATGCAGAATTCTCGCTTTTCTGCAGAAAAAGCTCATGTCTGTATCATACATTCAGTCCGATGTCTGAAGTTTCTAAATGCGTCCAGCACAAGAGTAACATTATCCAGTGACTTCCAAAATTTACAGAGTAGGTATTTAATTATAACCTCATCTTCCCACGAAAACATTGTAATGGACCTCAAAAGAAACAACAACCTATCCAGCCGAATTATTTTCAATATTGGCAACATTACGTGGGGAAAAATCAATATCTGCCATGACAGTAATGTTACATCACCTCACAATTTATGAGGGAAAACTCACATTTAGAGGCAAAATGAAAATGAAGGTATTGGCTTAAAGCCCAGCATCCTAGAAACAACCTCAGTTGGCAATATATATACACAATTAGGTTTTTGCCTCTGAACTTATCAGCAAAGGGGTATTTCTTAAAACATGCAATATGTGGCGAACATGTTATGTTGTGCAAAAGATTCATTCTATAGGACTTGTGAGGAATCAACCAGAAAAACATCTGTGGAAAAATTATGCCAACTTTTATTCATTGATGCACTGACCTTGTGCAGTCTGTCATAATTTTCAATTCCACTCCCTTCCAAATCTGGCAGAATTGTGCTTACTTTTACTCTAAGGCCGCATTCAAAACAGTGGACTAACTAGTCTACGGGTCAAATGTGGCGACCCACTAAAAAGCTTGACATCTAATCGGCTAATAGACACTGAATAGATGTCCCGTGGAGAAGTATTCAATTAGGTCCGCCATATTTGACCCGCGATCTAGGTAGTCCACTGTTCTGAATGCAGCCTAAGTCACCAGACCTTGCTTGGCCCTCTCAAATTAAAATGCATTCAGAACAGCTCCATTTAAAAGCTTGCTGTTTACTTCCCATTTAGACACTAAATAGATTCCCTGCAGGGATTATGCAACAAGCATTCAAGTGGGTCGGCCATATTTGATTCACGGATCTGTTAGTCCCCTGTTCTGAATGCGCTCTTAGATGATTCCCACAGCAATCCTCTTATTTTATCCTACCCACATATTATACATATACAAAGAAATGTATTTCTCATGGTGCTGAGATAGCTGTAATAAGTCATTTACTTCATGGGATGAAAAAAATGGTACTATAGCTTCAACTTATCTAAAAATGGCCTACGGACATATTATTGGTTTTGACTCCGATCTCAAAATTATATAAATTATGTGCTGATGTGTTTCCTATTCTGTCTGCTTATTTGACTCCAGAGGTCTGCAAAACGTGCATTCTCGTAAGGAAAACATAGGCTTCAAACAAACCAAAGACCAATACATAACACTATGTCAACTAATTTGACATTAAGTGAGGCGTGAATGAGAAATTTGCTACTGTATAATGAAAATTAATAACTTGCCAGGATATTGGCTGATAATCTAACTCCACACCACAACAAGCAATGCTCAGCTGATACCATACAAAATAGGGAGACAGTATACAAGCAGACAGAATAGGTTTGTGGTGTATCTGGCTACAGATCTCTTAAGTCTTTATATATAAGAGATTATATTGCAGTCTGTGTCATAATCTTTTCAGCTTATTGGCCATTCAGACCACCACTTACCTAAAAACTACTGGTCCGAATCAGAATTCACTGGTCCAAATAAAGTTTCAATAATACTGGTCAGTTTCCCCTATTGCATAAATATTAATAAGACCTTGATTTTGCCAAAGAAAAAAGGTACAAATAACTTCCAGCATTCATCAATGGCAACAGATAGGGAACTGTAGCAAGTACAGAAGCACCACTGGGTGACACAGAGTAGCATATATCCTTATTAACTGCAGCAGAGGAGACTGCACAATTGCATTCTCCCAAAACACAATCACTCATTGTAGCTAAGTCCATACAAAAAAAGGATTTCTAAAATTAAACCATGCATCATAAATAACAAAAAGGTATTTCATGTGGATCATTATTTTTTGTAATCAAAGCATATAAGCTTATTGATTATCATCATACACTTTAATTGAAAATCAAATGAGACATAAAGAATATAAAATATAACAATATAATTTATTTATTCACTTATGCATTTAAATAAGTCATTCCCATCATACCTTACCATGGTTGGGGTTGCTATTGGCAGTTCCTCAATGGATAATTCTATATCTGATTCACAGCATTGAGTGTTTGCAGTATGTGTTAATTATTGATTAATATTTCGTCTTTCTTTTAAGTCAAAATAAACTGCACAGGACAGGCTGACCTGGCCTATGGACCAAGTATTAAAAACACTGAATACACTGGGCCAGCTCATTCAGACAAATGCTTTCAGGCAACTGAAATACATTCAGTTTATTGAGATAAACATGGATTAAATTAAATAAGAGTCTGGTAATGTTTCAAGTCAACGTGTCCTCACTTCGTATATATTCCCCAATGTCAGCTTGGTGGAATGTGACTACTGTCATTGGGTCCACCCGTCTGCAGTCTTCTGTCGACTTGGCAGCTACTCCAAAACCCTGAAATTCAAAGACAGTGCATTTTTTCAGTTATCCATGTTGCTCAATAATCCAGAGATTAAATCACAATATAATAAACTCAGGGTGCAGAATAAGAACTTGTCTTTGATTTAAGTAGTTAGTGTGTGCATGTGCCATCTTTTATGAAAAAATGAACAATTTACAAAATATACTATTGCACATTACAATCAGTGAAAGAACCTGGCATATTTTTGTCAATTTACTACAGTAACTGTGTTTACTAAGAAAAGTTTGATTTTGTTTTAAAATCACAGCTTTTCTACAAATTAAAAACAAATTAAGTACTATCAATAAAACAGAGTTCAGTTCCAAAAGTGGCCACAAGATGGAGCCAGGAGTTCACTTCTAAAAATGGCCACAAGATGGAGCCAGTGCCCACTCACCAGTGGTAGGTCACTCATGGAGTACACTATGACCCCCTGGTACTGGGGGGTGTTTTCTGTGATCCTTCCAAGACCAGACTTCATCACATGGTGGCCATAGAGGAACTGCTGTTCTGCACTGGGTTTCACCCAGATTTTATACTAAATAAAAAAATTACATAAATATATTGTAATATTATAAGACCATTATTAGTGGATAAGAGAACAGACCAAGATGAAGGATGCCAGACATCTAAGCCACTGAGGCTGCTAAATGATAGTTAATTACCCCGTAACAGCTTCAGTATGCGTGCCAGACATCTAAGCCACTTAAGCTGAATGCAGTTTAGTGAGAACCCCCTTGGAGATGGGTCAATCCTGCTAGATCTATCTAGGTATGGGAATGGGATCTTACTCTTACCTTTGCATACGGTGCCAGAAAGTCCAGAGCAGTAATGTGCAAACGAAACTTTCCTGATTTGGTAAATTTTCCAAAACAAGTACCAAAGCTGACCAAATTTTCTCTGGAAATGTTTGCTGCCTTCTTCATCGTCTCTTCCCTAAAAAGAGTTATGGATAATGAATAAGTAATTTCATAAAAAGTAATTACCTGTTTTAAAAAACTCTGTATTAATCAGGCAATACTGGTACAAATTAATTGATACATACCAATATAAAATGCAATTAAGATACCCTTCATAGAGTGGATAAAATCTTTGGTCATGTTCTATAATTTTCCAGCACATTCAGTGATGACTAAAACCTTAATTTATACCTACAAACTTTTCAGAAAAACTCCAAATTGATATGTATTGGTTATAGGTTATGGCAAGCTTAACCTTACATGTGTTAGGACTTTCTATTATTTATTTATTCATTTATTTATATGGAGAGTGAGAGGCTAGGAGAATAAAATTAATATGGAAAGAGGGAGCACAAAACTGGTTCATGGAGCCTTAGGGTGCTTTCCCAGAGATTTAGATCGACCTAACTCCCTGGGGGTTCAGGCTAAATTGCAGTCAGCCGAGCAGACACCATAGTTAATTACCTCCTTAGAGCTTTTAGTAGGCGGGACAGACGCTTAAGCCAGCCAAGCTGACAGTAATCTAGTGAGACTCCCCACAGGGATAGATCGATCTAAAAATCTATGGAAATGGGGTGTTATTCTGTGTGTCCAGCATACTTACATGACATAATAAACCCTATCCTTGTGCAGTCTGAAGCAGTAGGTACCATCTGGTCTGTCTATCAACAACTTGATGTTTTCACCGATGCTAAAAAATATTTTTAAAAACTCTGTTGATTTTAGATTTATTTAGTAATAATGCAGTTACTATAAGTACGTTGGCACTAACAGAAATAAATGACAACTAAGTGATTATATGAGGGCCAGGTTGTGAGGCAGAAGGAAAATTTGGGAGGCCCTAAAGAGTAAATTGAGGGAGCCTGGTATATACTAACTTGTACGCTGAATGATTATAAATCAAACACATCAATACAAGCTGGGCATAGCTATCGAGACAAGATATATCAAATATATAAATATATAAATAACTGATGGATCTACTTACTACTTAGACAGCTTTTCGAAAAATGTTTTGGTCTCTTCTTCAGTTAGTGGTCGCATGTTCTTTTTAGTCAACGTGCCGCAACAACACCAATCCTTGTGTAGCAACTTCGGAAGCACATGTGTAAATTTACATCTCGCGAGACTTTGCGTGACTTCCGGGATTGTTGCCATGTGACCGCGTACACATTGTTTACAAATGGCAGCAGTTTCACTGTGTACGCTGTACCTTTAACTGCCATTTGGAATAACGATTTCGTTATTGCTTTGGTTTATTGAACAACAGCCAAACACGTCTCTGGAGATGTAGAGTAAGTATTGTTGAAGTTCTTAAAGGCAACAGAGGATATGGCATTGTTGAAAACACTTGAATTGTGACGTTTTTGGTGTCGAGCCCTCTGACGCGACCTTTGTGAGTTAGATGACCACAGCGGCAAGTGTCAGTTGATATTGTTATTGTTAAATTGACGAGGCAGGGTAAAATTTATATATATCAGGTTGTAATTATCGAAGCACCGTTTTTAATTTTATTATTATTATTATTGCAGAACATGAAGATAAGTACACGCTTACATAGTCAAAATTAATTATAATCTTAAGTACTGGGTATAACGGTAGCTGCAGGTTTACATATGTATCTATAAAAAATCCATTTGTTGGAAGGAATAATTTAATTAGTATTAGAATGGGATTTACATACGTATACTGTATATAATGAGAATTGGAATGTAAGCTAACATGATTTCATTCATATTATTCCAGTGGAGGTGAGCGAGAAACTGCAAGAGCTGACATTGAACCAGAAATGATGCTGGTCCAAAGCATCCAGTCACCAAAAACTCCTCTAGCCAATTTTGTTATTGGAGGTAGCACTAGCAATGTGCTAGATGGCAAGACAGACCACAGTGAATTAGTGGACTATAGTAGGGCAAAGACAGCTGGGAGCAGGGGAAGCAGCACCCCTGGAAGTGCCAAGCTCCTTTTAAAGATCAGCCATAGTCAGGGAAACATCAGTTCACCCCTACACCCTGAGAACCATAATGAGTTTGGTGCACTGTCATCAAACACACTGCAGGTCACAACAAGGACTGCAGCATTACAACCTGGAAATCTTGGTGAATTAAGTTCACAGACTACATCTGCCCTGCATCTCACAGCAGGTAATTCTGTGCTTGGACATGCAGGTATCACAGGGGCTGCTACGCTGCAGCATACAACTTCCTATGATCCCAGGTTGGGAGCAACAGATGTGTTACCTAGCATTAACTCCTGTCGTGTCGGCTCAGGGAAATCTGTTTCTTCTGTACACAGCATACGTCTGGATGCAGCAGACATACTGAGATCTGCAGGGTGCTCTAGTGGGACACCAACCATGAGGGTCCCCAGTGCCACCCTAAGACTCAAGTCTCTATTGTGCAATGCTCAGACTAAAACTAGGCCAGTATCCAGTCATTTCTCCATAACACACGTTGATGTCCCCAAAGCATCAAACCTGTTACGGAAACTCAGGGTTGATAGTGATACTGACAGCACCCTGGGTACAGGGGGATACTTACAGGATGAAATACAAGTGGCAAAGACTGTGCTGCAGAGGGAGGACTCAGGGTACAGTGAGCCCCTCTCTAATAGATCTGCTGACACTGAGGAAAATGTATCCAGGACTGGTGAGTTTTTAAAAAAAAATTTATTTCATAACACTTTTGCTTCCTCAGACAACATTCCCAGTTAATAGTGCTTCCCCTTATGGCTAAAAAGTTTGCCCAAACGTATATTCTTGCATTTTCTGTAGGCTTGTTTGACTCCATGCAGTGCTAACAACTAAATAAAATCTCCTTTTAGGCATTCTCAGTTGAATTCCATTGACATTGGCCAAGATATTCAAAGTTAGTCAAGACTTTTAAATACCATAAATTTGCTTCAAATTGTCTGTTAAAAATAATACAACTCACAACTGTCAATTTTTGAACCTTCAGGATCTCGCAAGTCAAGACCCAAGTCTAGGAGGAAGAAAAGGAGAGAAAAAAGTTCCAGGGTGCGCCAAGGTCTAAAAGTGATAGGCAACAAAGCTCCCACGAAGCTCAACCAGATCAAGTTTTCACCTCGAAACTCTGAGACAATAAATACCAATAACAACAGGGCAGTACCCAGTCCCAGGGGCCCTAAAAGGGAAAACACAATGAACTTCCAAGTGTACTGCAAGCCTATACAGACACTCCCCCCTTCATACAGGCCCCCTAAGCCTGAGAAGCCAGCTGTGATCAGGCAGTCTGATATAAAGAGTCAGAATCTCTTAACTCTTGGTCATGCTAATACTGTATATACATCTACAGGTGGTTCCAGTACTCTGAGCTTTAGTTTAAGTAAAAGCTGGGGTTCTATGCAGTCTGGCAACACACCAGCAGGCTCACCAAGGAGGAGTGTTAATGAGAACCAGCTGAACAAAGTGGTGAAAATTTACCTGTCTGAGAAACAGAGTGAGAATATTGTTGAGGCTGGGGGTGTGGTTCCCTGTGCCCCGCCTGCTTCTCCAACTCCAGGTAAGTTGAATATATACATGTTGTGGAGTGGCTGTTTCATATTGATGGCAATGAGTCAATTTTTTCTATGAAAAGATTGAGTCATGATCATTTGTCTTTATTTCGTTATTGTATTTAAATTTTATTTTAAAAAAAGCCATTTCTTCCTCAGATTTATCATTATAACCTGTTATTTGATTTCATTTCACAATAATAATTTTTTATTGTGAGTACTTTTGATACCTAATGATATCTTTTTTAAAAATTTGTTTAACTCCAATAGAATCAATATTACCAAGCACACGTTTTGTCACCCCCTTTATACTTAAAACTTCATTTCTTTCTTTTCCTAATGTATATGTGCATTGGTGGAACTATGTATCTAACCATTTATCATTTTCATTTATTCATTTTTGCCTTTTGAATCTTTTTCAGAGCATCTGCTCTCTCACAAGTATGTACCTAGCATGAGTGACAATGTTGCACAGAGAGCAATGAAAGGACGTCTTGAAGTTTTAGAGAAAAAACAGAAGAAAAAAGAGCTCCAGAAAGAAGTCGAGAAAGACAAAATGATGAAACAGCTCTTGAAGGAACAAGAAAAAGAAAAACGGAAGAAGCAGAGACAGGAGGTAGTGTTTTAACATTCTTATATTTAAAAAAATATTTTTTAATATTTGTATAATTGTGCACAGACCCAAGGTCACAAATATTAACAATCTTTGAGTTCAAAAATTTCAAGATAATGTGAATAAAATTGGTCCATGTAAAAAAAGATAAATAATAACCAATGTATTTTATTGATTTTAAAACTTAAAAATTTTATACTAATTTTGTCTGTTTTTAGATATATGCATTGAACAAAGTGATGACCAATTTGGAGTTCAGTAACTTCCTAGCATTCTGCAAATTAAAGGGAATCAATATTGAGACAGAGGATACAGACTCAGAGAAAAAACATTCTGGCAAACGTCGGAAGAAATCGGCCAAAAAATCAAAATCCTCAGACCGGGGAACTGATCTGCCCCTGTCTTCACTTGTGGATGGCTAGAGAAACAGTCCAAGCTCAACTGGTGCTACCTCTTTAAAAATCCACCCCACCCTCCACACATGTACAAAATACTACATTGTCAGTGAGTGTTCACACACCATGCATTTATACACATGAATCCAAACATACTCATACACAAAAGCACATACACATGGTCACATGCTCAAGTTTCTACAGTATGTTATATGTTGCATATGTGCAAGCATATATATTGACTGATAAATTGGGGAAACTTAGTACATAAATAATAACAATAATTATGGTCTGTGGATTTTGTTTTCATGTTGAAATTGCATACGTCTGTGATAACCAGTAATTAATGGTAATTAATGCAGCAATATACTTTCCATTGTATAGTGATTTACCATGTTTTATAAAGGTGTGTTAATAGTTTCCTCTGTGATGGTAATCCAGACTTCCACACAATGACAACTTTTATCTGTTATTATATAGATAAAGTGCCAAAACATTTAGAATGGGTGGAAACATTGTTTAGTAACGTATATATTAGTATCATGAAGTCATGCAGATTTGTTTTTATTGTAAAAAAATATTTTCCAATAATTAAACATGTACATACACACACACACACATGCACATGCACACACACACACACACACACACACATAGAGGAAATGTAGACCATTGGAAGGCACTTTTAAAATGTCTTCCAAGAAATTAGAGGTAGGCATATATCAGGTCCTAGTATGATATCATGACAGGAACAAGACAATAATGGTTTACTTCTTCTTCATCGTGGCAAAAGTTGCAGAATAGGTATGTACTTTTAGATGCTTCCTTAATGGTCTTTCAAGGATATGTTTATCAGTAGATTTTTTATTTTGCTAATGGTCTGATTATATATATACATGTATTGTGACACATTTGAAATTTATTTCTAAATCTAAATGAACTGTTTTGTTGTGAATGTTTTGATTATCATGTAGATGCTTAAATGATGAAATTTTAAGTCTAAAATTGTCTTGATTCTAACTATGTTGGTCTAGAGAGAATGTCAAAAATTATGTACATGTTGCAGTAGTAACATTCCCTGTTTTTTTTTTCATAATTCTATAAAGTTAAATTTGATTTAATAATCATGATTTAAAGTTGAAATACCTTACATTTTTACCTGCAAGTCTTACTTGTAAGTTATTCCATGTACCAGTCATTGAATGTGTTTCAAGTGATAAAATAATTTCAATATAAACATGATCTGTTGATATGTAATAATATATGTTATTTTGCTTATTATACCATTAACATTTACTAGATGATTTTAGCCAATATTTATGTAATTATATTGCAATACAAAATATATGATTAGCATTTTTATATACCCATTTATGTTAGAAGACAACTCTTTTAGATTTATACCTAATATATATTTATATGATATTTTTGTGACTTATGTAAATCCTAATCAGACCAAACATTGCATAATACAGCTATTACTAACGGTGTCTTGATGTAAGTGCAATAAATCAATAATGATACATACTTTTGAAGTGTGTGAATGACTTTTATTAAAAAACAGATAAAAGAATTATTTATCGTCAAGGAACGATTTCATGCTTGGCTGTAACATTGATTGCGTAATGAACATAAAAATCACATTAACCTCGTCATCTATAATAAGACTCGAATGTTCCTTGGTGCAAAAAATCTTGATCAAAACCAATTAAGTATTTTAAACAATTTCAATGAAATCGCTATATAAAACCCATATTGTTTTACCTAGGACCTTCGTCCATCCCCGTACACTTTGTGTCATTTATGAGCGCAGGAAGCAGTGGGCAAGGGGGGGGGGGAGGCTAAGAGACCCTCTCAAAATGGCGTTACTTTTTTGTACTGTTTTATGATCTGCAAAATAAGATTCCTTTCTTCTGTCTACAGGTAGATCGGTAAGGGGCCATCCATTTTTATCATTATTTCCCCAGTGTTTCCAGAACTCCCCTCCCCCACCCCACCCCACCGCCTTCAGAAAGTACCAGGTGAAAAACTAAAAATGATGACCTTTGTGAAAATGATGATAAAAATGGATGAGTCCTAAATTATCCAGTTAAATTGTTTTCGTTTCCAGTTAATCTTATCAAGAATTGTCTCAGTGTCACTTTTATATTGGGCAAATGTACTCTTGCAAAAAGAAAAAAAAACAGGTGGTCTTTTCACATTTTTATTAATTGTCACTTCGCTAAGTACTTACAATGAATTCTAATCTGCACATGTTTCACAGAATAACATGAGTTTGGTAAATTTAATAGGACAAACAACTTTAACATTAAACGCGGAAAAAATCCTCCTTGTGTAAAGAATTTTACAAGTAGTTCTTTTCCATTTCTTTCATTTCTAACAAATACATGCATAACTAAATTTGGTTTGTATACACGATTTGTTGAAGAGGTACCGAGTGCTAGAATGAAGATATATAAAAATCCGTTGTGCGTGTTATTCAGCAATAAAGATATAGTATACGCGTTTAATTGAAAATGACACAAAGGTGATATTTTTATGTCTTCATGCTCTGCAAATCTACGTATATTTCCCAATTCAGACCTTACGAGAAACTTCAAATAAAAATACCTGACGACGACTTTTCCTTCTGAAATATAAATATACAGTAGGGCAAGGCAGTCAAAACGTCTGAACAGACATTCATAATTAAACCATATCTAGTAGTTAGATACGGTGTATAACCTCAAATCCAGGTGCTGTACTAAGATTCACAAGTAACAGAAAATAGCTGTTTCTATAGGTAATTTTGATTGTGTCCGAAAATCCTGGATATGTTTCCTTTAATGTAAGTTTGTAAAAACTGCCTAGATGCCAGGCAAAAAATTTTACTCATTCCCCTCCCTGTCAATTTAAGTAAATCCTGGACTATGATCCGATACTAGGGACATTCGGGGGGGGGGGGGTCAGTGTTCAGAAAAAGAACCCCCCTTTGAAATTGCTGGCTATGGGCTAGCACGAAATTTCATGCGTTAGCACTCCTATTGACGTTTCTGATATGTACTATCTGTGCTAACGTTAGCACAGCCAGTACTTGTCAGAATCGTCAATAGGAGTGCTAACGCATGAATTTTCGTGCTAGCTATGGGCCTGATCTCTACAGCTTCTTACATATTCTAAGTACATATGCCGTAGTCCATACACTCTTGTCCTTTCCCCAGCTTATATCAAATCATAAACAAAATACATATATTACTGAATGAATATACACTGGTACTCGAGTCAGTGCTATACTTATAGACACATAGTCTGTAAAATAATTGACAGCTGAAATATCTGTCAAAACATCAGTGTCCCATTCTCAAAGAATTAGTCCATAAAATCTTATTCGCCATAGTAGTTAGTGCTGGAGTAGTTAGTACTGACTGTTTGTAGAAACTATCCCAAATGTGTAACCACAGCCCCGCGTAAATTTAACCCGACTTCGTTACGTTTCGGGGCGAGAAAGTGTACACTGAAGCACGTCCATGTCAACGTAATTTTGCAAGATATGTATTTCTGGAATACATTAACTTACATGTATATTTCAATATTTAGCTAGTAGTAGTAGATATAAGTAGAGTTCGCTTTCAGAATGCGACCATTCTAGTACAATGTATAGCTGAAAATTTTGTTGACAGTCACGCCTTTGATTTCTTTGTCACAGATAGGCCACGTCCGATACGTCCTTCTTAAGTTCACAATTCTAGGACTCCCTATCCGAGCAAATGTCAAGCAAAAACAATGTCAAATAGGGGCAGACATCGCCAAGTTCACTGCAAAATGTTGTCATTTAATTGGGAGAGCACAAGGCGACAGGAAAAAACCATACGTCAATATATGTTAAACATTAATTCCTACATTATATGTATTTTAGAAAATTTACAAATAGTTTAATGACTTGCAATATCTCTCAATATGCGTTGAGCTTGTGGAAGTAATCCGGTACTGACAAGTTAAAGGATGCGTAGAGATGGCGTCCTGTCCCCTACTCCCTTCACATGTGATCAATAATTTTTGCCTTAGAACCCATGGAATCAACAGACGCGTTGGAAATGGTCCTTGGCATAATACAATTGACGCCATATGCTTCCTGTTTCCAAGGTGACAACGACGTCTGGCAGCGGCACGCGGACTTATACAAATCGTACACGCGGCGATTACAGATGAAGGCAAAGAAGATGAACATGCCTTGAGAGCAGTTGAATACTATGAACAAAATGTTCATGGTGTATAAAACGTAACACACGGTTGCCGTATGAGTCGGAACAATTCCGCTGATGACGGAGGAGGCCAGGCCAAACACCCAGGTGAATCCCATAAACGTGGACATGCGCACATACAGCATGACGTCAGCGTGACCGGTGAGGCGACTCACGGACGCTCGCCGTCGGCTTAGTTTTGTCACTTTCATAGTGGCGCGGATGCTTAAAATTGTGCGCCCGAAGAAAAAGGCGTTGACGAAGCAAATGAAAAAGAGCGGCCCACCGAAGACAGTTAGTGTTGCTGTAGGAACACTAATCCAGCACCCAGACGCTTGGATATCAACAGCGGTGTTCATGGCAGCGGAACCGTTTGACGTGAAACTGGTCTCCATGTTGACTCGGCCATACCCGATATTGAAGTCCAACTCCTCGAAGAAGGGTATCTTGTCCACCAAGACACACGCCATGACAATGAGTGCCGGACATCCCCAAGCGTACAACATGTACCGCGGAAAGAATTTCCCCTTTTCGCGCACTCTTGGAAGGATGCATTTTGTGGTGAAAGTCTTGTACAAATCAAACGCCATCACGTTCATCCAGAAAAACGCGGCAAGAAAAAGGTAGTGGGTGCCTACAGCGACAGCAACGCAAAGCTCTTCGTGTTTTATCAGTGACCCAGAGAAAAACGCGGCCTGTCCAAGTAGAAGCGCTGCTGTTAGGTTCATGACGTTAGTCCCTGGGAGGTTGCGCAGTTGACGAAACAGCAGAAACGTAAATAATGTTATTGCCATGGCAACCACAGACGTGACTCCCAATATGACAGTGAGATACGACTCTGCGGATTCAAAGGCACCGAAGATTTCCGAAGCACAGGCTAATTTGTAGTGAGTCTCATACTGAGTGAGCGAAGTGAGATTGGCTTCACTACCATTTCTCCAGACTTCCGGTACGCATATCAATAGCTTTCCGGCATCTCTGGTGTACTGATATTCATTAAGCGAATAATTTTTGCCATGGAACTTAAAATGTCTATTTGGGTAAAATTTGGCGTCCGTGACGTTGATCGGCATCTTAGGGCAGGAAGTGTCTCTAAGACGCGGGTGCTTTTCACATACAGTGGCATAACCGTCAAAGTTGTGATGCACGGGACCAAGAAAGTCCCATTCACCTTGTAGGAGCACAGTCAAGTCGAATTCCCCAACTTTGTAAATAGTTTCAGTAACGTTGATGTAGACCCCAGAGCGCGTTAAGTTCAAATTTTCGTCAAAGTACTGGATGAGGGTAAAGTTCGACGCGAGGTAGACTCGCGCTCTTCCATCCTTACACCAGTCGATGAGACCGACGTTGTTGTGGCCCCCAGAAATGTTAAATTTAAGCTGATGAAACTCCAGCATAATTCGGCGTCTCTTGAAAGCTGCCGTAATGCGATCGATGTAAGCATCCATGTCGTCATAGGTATCTTTTTCCTCTGCCTCGTCCGGCTTTACCAGAAAAATCATCTGTTTGTGGACAAGGTCGCTTAGCTCATCTGGCTCTCCCGAACCTTCGAAGGAGTAATCGTGGTCAAACTGATCAAGTGTCATTGCCTGCTCACGAGAAGCGGAATAATCGATCTTGGTCAGGTTATCTGTAGCGTTGACGTAGTCTCCAAATGTCACATCAATAATTTGATCCGGTCTTATACCCGCAGCGTCACTGACGGCCCGTACGGATTCATTAATAAAGCGATCAAAGCCGGTCTCTATTTTCTTAATCAGACCTCGGCTCATGTAAAAACTCAGCTTGATTTTAAACGGGGAAACAGCCGACGCGGCGTCAACCGGGGCAGCGTCAATTGGTTCGCAGACCTGCTTCTCGGCGTTGATGACGTACCCCTCTTGGCAGAGAATTAGGAAGCACGCTTTCTTTACTGGGTCGAAGATCTGTTCGTCTGTGCAAGAAGGCAGCTCATTGACGGTGTTCGTGTTTTTGGTCAGTTGTTGTGTACTGGTCAGTAGAATGTGGGCTTGACCATTGATGCCAAAATTCATAAGAATAGAGAAAGAGGTTGTGAATCGGTTTGACGCCATCCCGAGTACGTTGCTCGCATCCCTGCGGACGAGGCGTTGCGCATTTGGGGGTGCGGGGTGGTCGCAGTGTTTTATCAACTCCTGAATTTGAATCGGAGGCTGGATCGCTTCAACTCGGCAATCTTCGTCAACGTACCGACTGATGTCCTGCAAGTTCATCGCATGCACTTTGGGTTCCTTCTCAAGAGGGTTGTGGTTACAAGTCACAGATTTAGTCCATATTTCCATATCTGTCACCATATTACACTGAGCACAGAACACGTCGCGATACGTGTTGCCATAAAAATCGGACACGGGCACGTCAGAAAATATGGCGTCGTGTTGGACATGTTCACAGAAGTCTCGGACATCATTGTCCAGCCAGTGGGCCGGACATCGGGACACTACTGCAATACCGGTGGCGTTGTACCCTGGAAGGTGAATACACTGGGGCATTACTGGCCTCGGCACGTACTTGGCATAATCGCTTAAATCAATGGGAGTTTGGGGGACGGCGGGGTGGGGAATGTCTTGCGTTGAAGCGTCTCCGCACGCTGGATTGGATGTAGTAACGCCATCTTCGGATTGTTCGCAGTTCTTCTTGTCCGTCATTTCGTGTTGTGTCTCAGTCTGCGCCTCGTTTATCAGTCCCTCTTCCTTCCAATCGAGCGTGTCGTCTGTCGATAATCCATTTTCGTCATGGCTTGTGTTTTTGTCCACAGCGTTTCTCTGGTACCGTTTTTTATGTGTTGATATTTCTTTCCAGTCCGCAGTGTTTTCATTTATTTTAATTAACACTTTTCCTTTCATAACCAAGTCGTTTGTATCAAATTTTTTGCTAAACATCCCTGCTTGAATTCTGTCATCGTCGTTGATGTCGACGTAGCTTTTTCTATGACTTAATGTTTTTGCTGTGTTAGAGAAATGTCCCCATACATTGAGTATCTCCGGATGAAATTTGCTTCCTACTTGGCTCCTTTCTTGTCCTGGCGCTTGCTTTTGCGCTTGATATTTTTCTCGCTTGACGCCATCTTTTGATACAGGTAACGTTGCTGCAACAACCAATAGAAGGCTAAACCAAAACATGGCTGTCAACACTTTTAACGATTTCCTTGTCTCTACTGTCAGGAAATGTTTTTCTGTTAACCCAGTCAGTCTAACAAATTCACGTGAAGCGTCGGCGAGCGACATTTCGCATAAAACACACAGTAAAACATGGCACTTTCACAAAATGACGTCGAAGCACGACAGCGCTGACTGTTAGATCCTTCACTAATGTCATAAAGTCGGGGAAGAGAAACAGCTGTTAAGAACTCCGATAACGCGTGCCTCGGTGGTAGGGGCCTTCCAGGCGGAACGGTACCTTTAAGCCTCCTTGATCAACAGGTCGCAACAGCTGTTTTCAGGTGTATTGATTCCCACTGAGGCCCATTAGATAATTCAAACTGCAATTTCCCCGTTATCAACCCTGCACACTAAGTGAAGGGCGAATCTTCATTCATCCCGGGATGGGGATTAGAAAAAGACAACACACGCGGCCAACTGAATCGCTCAAATGTGCCCATCCTTTTGCGGTGAATCTGACGGATCTCTGTGTACATTTAAAGACGCCGGGGCGTTTTATCGATAACCCTTCACAACGCTCTCTGGCGCACTAACTGCGCGTGTGCCTATGTGTACACAGCGAATCTGAACAGATTAGACACTCAGCTAATATAAACTGCGTCTTTAAGATGTTTTCATTCTTCAACTGTTTGTCATTTATGACAAAATGAACATGCACAGGCTCAAGCAAAGATTTTATATTAAAAAAATATTTTATAGTGAAAATAAAAAATCGAGCACAGTTCCTAGTGCACTACAAAGAATAAGTCTCAGTGACAGGTGATAGGGAGCTATTAATTTGTAAAATTACAGCATATATATCATTGCAAATTAGCGTTCTCTCATTGGTTTACTTTGTAATGGAGACCCGTCACGCACGATCCAAAATTTCAAGTTCACTAAGGCGTTGAAATACAGAATATCTGTTTATACCGGTTAAGAACACTTTATAAATAAAACTAATATATGTATATTTAAAACACTTTCCCATATTTCTACATTGATAAAGGGGTCACAGAATATAACATATTCTATCGAATAACCTTAACCTCAAAAAGCGGCACTGTTACAAGTTACAGATGGTTATTGAAATATTAGAACGTTTTTCAAGTCCTGCTTGTTTATTCTTCGCAGCACATCTTCATTTTAGAGGAACATCGTAGTGTAAAGTAGTTCTTCAAGAGGCGATGCACTTAAAACGATTAAAAATAATCATTTATACCTTTTTGTCATCTATGTCGCCGCCCTTCTTCAAACTGTTATTTTTGATAAACGCGTTATATGTGTTCTTAGACAAAGCAATTTGCTTTTCTAAAATTAAATCTGAATTATTTAAAATGAAACAAAACAACTCATTTTATGCACGAGGTAACGCAGAACGCCTTTGATATTTAACCTTTGCCGCCGTCTCTCATGTAGTCATCCCGGAAAACGCGACATTCGTTCGTGAACAATTCAATACTTTGTCTTAAATTTAATTTAGATTATTAATTAAAAAAAGTTTTTTGTATGTAGTAATACGCTGAACTCGAGCCTCATACGCCGTTCGCATCAAGTAGATAGCAAAGCACCAAAGCACACGTAATAGGAACACAATATCTATGTTCATGCATTGGAGACATGGAAGTGAATACTGGACCAATAGAAGTCCTCTCGACTGTCACGTGAGTCACGTCATTCACAGCTGTTAAATTACCAAAGCTGCCCTTTCCACTACCCTCTAGCAAGGCCGCAGTTATTATTATTATTAGTTTTATTATTATTATTATTATTATTATTATTATTATTATTATTATTATTATTATTATTATTTCGTGGACATTTTTGCTGAGACGGTACAGAGATTAGCCATCTATTAAACCACGCAGAGGCATTTCTGTTAATATCTTGTGAAAACCTGTGGCCCTGGTAGAGGGTATCTTCCCACTACGTCTAGATACCTAACTCAAATGTCGTCATGCAGTCGACTGTAACCACGAGTGCTTCAGTTGACAACATAATAATGTCATGTGTGAAATACCCCATACAACGTGTTCTCAACAATGATTTAGAAAACAGCAATCATATTTATTGGATTTGCTTGAAAAGCAACAGTTTGAATTGTCATTTGAGATTGATCTTTCTTCTTCAGTCTAAAGCTCGTCGACAAAATAGCACCACAAGCCCTAGCTTTTCCCGGTTTTATCTCTTCTCAATATAGTGACTGTGGCGATAACGATGTTGACTTGTGTTTGTGTAGAACTAGCATGATGTCGCTTAATGATATTATTTATAAGTGAAACTGTAAACTGTATATGTTATAGAACTAGGTTTCGGATGTCCTAGTTTAGAATTGTGCCAGGCATGATTACAAACTAGGACATATGTTCAAGTTACAATCAAGCGAATATTGATAAGACATCGAAACGGGCTAACTCCTATATTTTTTGAAATACATAGGTCAGGCCTGTAGCCAGCAATTTCAAAAGGGGGTTCTTTTTCTGAAAAACTGGACCTTTTTCCATAAAAAACTTCATGTACCTAGATCAAATTTTACCCAGAGTGGACCTTTTCCCAGCAAAAGGAGTGGTTCTTTCGAACCCCCCGAACCCCCCTAGCTACGGCCTGTAGGTGCAAAAGAAATCGGCCTTTTTCCACATTTTGGCTTGGTATTATTGCTCATTGTCATTTATCACTTAAAAAGGCAAATTCATTTCTTTTTATTTTCTCGGAAGCCATACATAATACTCAATATTTGTCCAGAACGCTGTCTGAAAGATGTAAGAAAATTGGCATTACCGACGAGACATATGTCTACAGGCTACGTTCAAACCAACACTTCTTTAAAACCGACATCGATTCAACTTTCTTTATCAGTGGACCAAACTGCAGAGAGAGAGAGAGAGAGAGAGAGAGAGAGAGTCCCAAAAGTCAGCGTCATAGGTCATTGTCTGTGCACTGTGGATTACTTCATGTAAGCCACGGCCATCTGCAGCTTGCTCCTTGAATGGCGCGAGTCGGGTCGATTTTTCGGTCTGCAGCATTCCTGGCTGGAACACTCGGTCGTGAACTTGATGGGGATATGAAACCACTCAACTTCGACAAAACACTCCGCGCTATCGCCACTTAATAGAGCTAACACTGTTAATAACCTCCCTGACGGAACCCTTCAGAGTGCTGTGTCAACACATGCGGACGGGCAATTTGTTGCCATTACACGCGCGCGTTCTGCTCCCTTCATACGCACAAGTTGCGTTCAGATCTGCGGTTAATTCAGCCAAGGCCCTGATCCTTTTTATTTCAATTTGTGTCATTTAGATAGCAGCCACTGCCTGCTCGTAATATTCTATTTGTAGATATGAGACACAGAAATGGATTCATTCATAAAATTCACAACTCAATAATGATGAGATAAAAAATAATATATAAAGATACAAAGATATTGACACACTGCACGGCTGACATTGGTTTCGTAGGCCTTGTAATGCTTTAACATGACAACTGGAAGGATCCATTAGTAAGTCAATTAGTTTGTCTAAAATGATCATTGTTGAAATGAGCAATAGTTAGTCTTTGGGTAGTATTTTGGTTTTATGCTAATTTTCATTGTAAGTGCCTGGGTAATTTTGGTCACCATGGGGCATCTATGAGTGCTTGATTTCTGCAGTTCCTCCCTCTCCCTCAGTACTTTATTTCATTCTCTTTATTTATTTATTTATTTATTTTGGAAGATCACTTTTTTCGTATGTAAAGACAAATAGTATACTTTTAATAACCTGTACGTAGGAAGGCTCACCAAATGCACACAAAATTCGAGGCACTCAATAGCTAAGCACCTGAGCAGTATAGTATTTTATGGGCACATTTTGGACGAAGAAAGTCAAGATATGTAGTTAGTCTGTGCACATATTAGTTTTTTGTGTACTCTTAGTGATCACAAACAAACACACACACACACACACACACACACACAGAGAGAGAGAGAGAGAGAGAGAAAATGTCACCTCCCACCCATCACTCAGGGAACTTCCGTTCAGCCCCCTTGAACCACTCCATGTTATCTTGAAGGTTAGGGCAGATGTCCCGTGAATTACACTGGATGTGGGACCTATCTCCCGCCCACGTCTCGTTTATTCTGTCTGCTGCACTAGCTTGTTAACAGACGACAACTATAGATATTGAGAGAGAGAGAGAGAGAGAGAGAGAGAGAGAGAGAGAGAGAGAGTGAGTTGCGAAAAAGAAGCAATTTATATAAATGCGTTTGAATTGATTTTTAAAATAAAATAAGTCAGTACATATAAGTTGATTACTGCCAAAGATGCGTTTTTAAAAATTATTACTAAGCTTTTGCATGTATTGGTCCAATGCTGTAAAATTATAAAGCCGTTAAAACCAGATTTTGATATTTAATCTTTTCCATGTATTTGCAGTGACATATTTCACAGATGGATGTTGTTTTTTAAACATTGTTTTATTCAAGCAATTGCTTTAATCCATTTACAGCAACAAGACATCAATTTAGCATTGGCAAGATTAACCACCATCAGTTAACTGTTTGTAATTATAAATTTCATTTAAGATGATAAGTTTCACAAAATCACAACTGTCTCCAATCAATACGGTCTCTAGCATTCTACAAATTGAACATACCAAACAATTGTTTTACCACTTTTAAAAAGGAAAAACATATTTGATTAGCTTTCCATCTGTATACGTTTCGATTGATAAAAGTCCTCAAAACCAAAGACAAATATTGACTCGGGAAAAGTGCGTAAATATGATTGTATAACATAGACGAACTTATTAACAACTGAAAATAATAATTAATAGAGTTATATATGTTAATTAAAATTACTTGACTATTGAAAATAACAGTTACCATTTCTCAATTACCATGTAAACTCTACCAAATATTCTTAATATAAGGACGACCACAAGTATACGTCTTGGAGACGAAATCAGAATAAAATTTTCAGTCCTTAAGGGATAAAAACTCTGCCCTACCTGGGTACTGGTAAATGGGCTGCGTTTCATAGCGGACTACCATTCCTGTCACACCGGTTCAACTTAAGTAGTTTAAATCCCAGCGACTTTGCTCAAAATTATTGTATGGGATAAATCAAAATCTAGATCTGTATAGGCCTAATTGTGCAGAAGCCCCTGAAATCAGAGGGAACCCCTAGATGACGCAAGAATGTGCTTGCTAGACTAAGTGAGCATCTCCGATTCCTCCCAAAGGCTTCACTACCACAATGATCATCATATGTTGCAATATTATCAGGATCTTTCATTTTGGTTGAGATTTGCAGGGGTGGGAGGGGCGACAACGGCAGCAGGCACGCGCCCCTTCCTTAGTTTCTGAGGCACCCCCGGCCTTCTCCCCCCAACCCTCTCAACCCCCCCCTTC